TAATGTTTTAATTCAATATTCTATGATTTAACATTGGAATTTAAAGAAAACGTGAGGAAAAAACTATATCTGGAAAAATGGAAAAATTGGGCTAAGAAACAGGAACTTTTCATTGTCTTTTGTTCACATTTTTCACATTTGTTTCACATGTTTGATTTTTCCACATTTTTTCCAAGCGTATTTTCAAAAGGCATTTTTTCTACATGTTTCACAAAAACGTGTCTTGAAATTGCACTTGGAAAAAAGGTGAAAGAAATGCGTCTTGAAAATGCACTTGGAAAAAATGTGACAAACATGTCAAAACATGTGACCAACATGTGGAAAAAAAACATTTGAAAATCCAGTTGGGAAGGTGGCAGGAACTCTTGAAATCGTTTCTTCAGGTTTGATTTTATTGGGTCCAGTTTTGCTGCAATTACTTTGCTGCCTGCCCAACCAACTTCTGCAGGTTGAAAATCGGAGAGGAGCAGTTCAAATCGATCGGAAGTGGACGGTGCAGATCGCAGATCTGTTTAATTTACCAATAGCAAAACAATGACTACCAGGAGCAAAAACATTGGAAAAGAGAACGAAGCTTCAAAATTGCTTAACACGTACATTTTTCACATGTTTTACACTTTTAAAATACATGTTTTCACATTTCAAAAATAATGCGTTTTCAAAACGCATGTTTTCACCTTTTTTTTACATGTTTAATTCAAACTACTACAACCCTTCTGCAGCTCAGTTGGCCATCATAAGTCTAAGTATGGCAGTCACTTTTAATACACTTACAACCTGACACTGTTGACATCATCAACTGTGTACTTGGACACTGGGGGGTTGAGGTTCCACCATGGTTCAACCACGCCAAAAATGTCCAAACATTAGCAGCATATGGTGGCCATCCCAATATTCGGATTGTTTGGCATCGATCTAGCATGATGATTCACAAAATTTGCCAATACTGCTACCATATGAATCTAAATGTTCTAAATAACACGATTGCGCCACAACATGTCCAGAATTATTCCTGATCATTTGCAAAAGCAAGTGTGGCTACAAATGATCTTCACTTGGGGAAAGTGAAAAAAAACAATTCAAAGAACTACAGCCGAGGCACCCCAACAGTGCGGCGAGAATGCAAACAAAGACTACGAGCATCAGTGGCAAACTATCGAGTTCGCGACCCTGCACTGACAAGCCGCGAAATCGGTCTGAACCTTGGCAGTGTGACCCCAAGCCATTGATCAAGAACGATAGATGGGATATGTGAAAAAATGATCACAAAAAATGATGTACATAGTAATATGTCTACATATATATATTGTATATCTGTCTATTGTCATATAATGCAGAAACACAAAACATTATTGATGCCACTTCCAAACACCAACAGCATCTGTCCAAGTTACCAGTAGGACCGCGCAAGGCGGTGGCGGAAGTTTCAAAGATAGGAAACCTATAGGAGAGGTGGGTTGTTGTGATTCATGTGTCCAATAGCTACTGTACCCTTCAAATTCTCCGTCACATGTCAAGGTAGAAGTACACAAAAATAGAATTGCCTATTGTTTCCTCGCCCGTCAATTTTTTCATCCCCCATATTTCCCCCATTCCCCTATCTTTGTCATCGCCCAGCCACGGTGACTCAACCCGGCGACACCGGATTTCTGATCCACCTCCACGTGTCCGGGGAAGTACTCATCCACCAAACTCCCTTCGCGATCCACCGGAACTTCCTCCGGATCCTCTTCTCCTGCCAGGTCAGTGATGGTTTAACGGTTTCGGAAATGGATGCCGCTGGATGCCGCAAAATGGCACTTTCCTACGGCTTGAACAATGGCAGACCATAATTATGATTCTTGGGGTTCCATATGCTGGTTGCTTCAACTATCGTTGAGCTGCCGAATATGAGTCGGTTGGGATCATCATGATCATCACTGTCAGTGATTGAACGGGAGCTTGAAACCGCGAGCCGATGATAGCGATGTGGTTACCAAGAGGCTCTTCACAGAAAAACCTTGGAGCCAGCAGAATATGGGCTAGCAGAGCATTCTGAAAATCCACCATGGCCAGTCCAATCTGAAGCCAGCGATTTTTTGCCCACCGCATGACTTAAAAGCTCAACTTGATATTGGCTCCTCAAACATGGGGTTGCCAATGCCAATTGGTGGGATTGAGCAGCTTTTTGGGCCTCCATTCTCAAGTCTTAACTGTATCTATCTGAATCTACCTATGTATATATATATATATTTAATAATATATATATATATATATCTTCATCCACTAGGTTGGTCTTTGTACAACCCATCTGTCGCGTCTTGTTACTGTACTGTAATTATCTGTTTTCACTCAAAGAGAGAACCATTTTCAAACATGGCTTAAACATCACCTACGCTTCGTCAGCCTTCCAGTGTTTGACGTTACACCCATGCTTCAGGATAAAGATCGCCGCAATCTATAAAACCTAACCCTTGCTGACAAAGAGAAGAAGTCAAACATATCCCGAAAAAACTGCAGGAAGCGTGAAGTTGCAATATTAAAACAATCACCAAGCCACATATCAAGAATGATCAAATTATCAAGTTGGTTCTAGTTATAAAACGCATGACGTCTCTCATTCTATCCCTATAACATTATTGCGTAGTTGTATTTCCAAAATGTTTAGTCAGGACATCCAATCCCAGCCTGCATCCTCCCAGCTACATGACTTGGGCGACGTAGAACAATCCATCTCTCCTGCAAAAGACGGCAAACATTAAGGAATGTGAAGTGATCGCTGAGTTTCATTGATACAACCCTCACCCAGGAAAGTCACCTGGAACCGTCGCATTGGAGAAACCGTCAGATTGAATCAAGGACAACCTAAGTTGCCAAGCCAATGAACACATTACTTAAGATCTACATATTATTAATTATTAATACTAATGATGCATGCCATTGCATGTCTATATAATTAACAACTATGAAGCCCGACGGCAAAATGCAATTAAAACCCTCAGAAATTGGGAAAATAGATGCAGCTATGTTGCTAGATATGTGTCATGTTACTTAGAGGAGTCTCCACCTCTTCTGTCGCATCCCCAGCTAGGATGGACTAAAGAAATATTGCAAACTGCAAGGCACGTAGTATCATGTAAAATATCCAATATTTTGTCTAGAGTCTACTATTTTTCATTATTCATTTAAGATTTTACTTTGTTTTTAATCTATTACTGAAACCTGTCCAAGTAATAATAGCTACCCCAGATTGTTCGTTATGGGGCATTTCAGATTGGTCAATTTGACTTTTAAATTATACCCTTTAGAAAACAATTTAAAAATCAAGGTCCAATTTGAAAGTTCTGCCCCCTTAACAAAAAAAAAACTAGTTAACCCCGGGGTAGGTTTTAATAAGGTCCGTTTTTTACATCATTTTCTTAGTTGTTCAAGTGAGGTTCTTAGTTTAATATTAGGGGAAAGCATCGACATCCAATTTTTGGCATGTTTAAATTATATGTTTAAAAGAATTTAACTGATGTTAAAATCAACATTGCTTAAGGTTTTTAAACTAATAAATATTGGGGGGGATGCTTCGAATTCCAATTTTTACTTATATAATTTCATTTTAAAGGGAGTTTGAGCAATTTTGAAACCAACATTATTTTACTTATTTTTTTGTTTGAATTAAAGATTAGGAGCCAGCTTCCCCCGCGAATATTACAATAAAATCCCCTTGTTTTTTGGGTAGGTCCTAAAACAAATGATTTTGAGCGAGTGTCACAGACCTGCAACTGATGCAGAACCCACATCCAGCTCCCTCTCCTCCTAGAGTAGCATCAGCAGTTTCCATGGTGGTACCCGTGGTACCGGTGGTCAATGTGGCATCCTGGGCATCCTCCATCTTAGGGCCCGCAGCTGCCACAGGTTCCGCAGCTTCCGTCATCCAGTCCCCCTCTCGGAGAGCAGTCGACTGAACATCGGCACCCACCGAGGGTGGGCGAAAAAAGAGGCCGGCTTGGGCACAGGGAGGAGCAAAGCAAAGGGTTGCAACTGCTTCAAGTTCTAGGCGCGTGGTCAACAATTGCCGCCGCAATTCATGAGGGGTCTTGGATGGTCTTAGTGCTCAGGAATTCGTTGGGATGTCTTGTAGACCGCAAAGGGGTTCCTTCTGAGAGGATCTTTCAAGAAGCTTCGGGATTCTGACTGGCTATATAGAGTGGATGTGGTTGATGTGGTTGATGTGGTGAGCATAGGCGGTGTGTACAGCATGCTGTTGACTGCAGCAATATTTCTGAAAAAAATCTTGAGCCAGTGGTGCTTCACCTAGCTGGCAGGCTCTTAGAAAATACATAGCTTTTGCAAAAAACAAACAACGATCCCACGCCAGAATCTAGCGATAGAGTTTTGAGTGTCGCTTCAGTTTATGACAATGCACGCAAGGAATGTTACATTTCAACTACAAAAGCCATCTAGCGCCTGAAAAGCAACGGCTAAACGAAGCCAGGGCAATTGAAGTTGTGGACTCAAAAAGAAGGGTGTGGATTGTCCTGGAGGGAAATAAGATGAAATAAGCATACAACCCATTGTTGGGAGACTGAAAACCAAACTTTCACCAAGGCTGCAGGAACTTCACTTTTCGATTCGTGTTCCGAATGGTTGGGGCCAGAGGGGATCTTGGAATAACCATGGAATACCCACGGTCTCCAATCATTCCAAGGTGATCCGAAGCACCTTGAATATCCACCGTATCTGGTAGAGTGTTCTCACCCTTCCTGGGCACGAAGCATAGCTGGACGTCAACGCAAGCAGCAACATACTGGTTTAACGACCAAGCTTGGGCTACTCCGACTATTCATTTTGGCCTTGGGTTGCAAGCCAAGGGCAAACTTCAACCATCACCCCCAGTATGACCCTTTTCTTCTATGTCTTTCTTCATCTCCATCTTCAAACTAACTCTCTCTGTCTGCTGCCTGCACGTGACTGCATGGAGACAAAGGAAAATAACAAAAAACAACAACCCATGAATCGCAAACACATTCACATTCATACCGATTCACTAGATCATGTCGGTGATTCTGTGGACGAAGAACAAGGAGGGGTGTTCCCCACGTTTGAACCAATAAGCAGGTAGATCATGGCATTGTTTCGACTGGGCAGCATTGCTCACACCATCAAATGCGGGTATGTTTCACCACTGAACAACCACAGGCGAACTTCTTCTTGAAGAGTTTCCTTGGTGCAACGAGCAGTCCGAGGAGTCTTCATCAACTCATCCTAACACTCCTGGGCACTTGATACATACCATTCAGGAACACGTCCAATTGAGGACTTGGGAGGAACCTTAAAGTAACCTTATCACTGATTACATGAACCGTAAGCCCTCAATGGCTCTCCAGGTCACTGTTGGATTTGGGACCATTGGGACCAAAGACTTGCTATGACATGGCTTTTTGCCGCTACCCAGACCAAACAAGTTCTCTTTCAGCAGGTCGGTGTGTTAATTTGTGTTACCCTCTGGTAATTTAACATAGCTATTGAAAATCACCATTTATAGTGGATTTTCCCATTGAAAATTGTGATTTTCCATTATAATCCCAAATAAACCGAATTATATCCGAATAATTAGTATAACACCATGTTGCTTTAAAAGAAAGAACTGATGAATATCAGGGCTTTGATCACTACCCACTTGAATGTGCCAATCCCGGCCTTTCACCAGGCTGAATGTGCCAATCCCGGCCTTTCACCAGGCTGATCAACAGCTAAGCCGGGCCTGTTTCCATCTTATCCAGGTTTGGAAACATGTCATCGTGTCCAAACCTTGTAGCCTTGTGATGCATTCCCACCGCCCCCCCGAAAAAAAAAACAAACAAACATCTAAATGGGCCAAAATTGAGGCATCAAATAACCAACCATTCATTAGCACTTAGCCCTATAAATGCCTCTCCCTTGCCGAGTCTTATGCAATTTTTGATGATTAACTTTCACAACGAAAAGGCTAATTGTTGAACATGTCTGATGCTTAAACACTGCTATAGTCATTATATTGACACCATCAATATTATTATAATTATTATGATGATTACTATTATTGTTCACTATGTTTTAACACACACAAACACACATATATATATATATACACAGTGTACATATTATATATATATATATATATATTATATATATATATATATTAAATATATATATATATATATATCGACGTCCCATCATTGTCCATTGTTTGACATTCCGGTACCATCCTTGCGCTCTTTTCGACCCAAGCTGCGCCACATCGTCCAGTTTGATGCTGAAGAGGTCTAATCCGGCCACGCTGGTGACCTGCCACCGGGGATCCCATTGATGCTGGATGATAAGTCTGAGTTACGTCTACTGGTTGGTGGTTGAGCCCTACCCCTCTGAAAAATGATGGACTTCGTCAGTTGGGGTGATGACATTCCCAATATGATGGGAAAAATATAAAATTCATGTTTCAAACCACCAACCAGTCTATTTCAGGAAACCTCCATATCATGCATTCATAGGTCTGGTGTAGTATATACTAGCATATATATATATATATATAAATATATATATGTATGTATATGTATGTATCAAGCATTCTAGCATCTGAAATGCGGAAATTCATATGATTTCAACACCTCAAATATCTGATTTATATATATTATTATATATTTATATCACTTGAATCTACTCGCGATAAAGTTGTCTTGAGGGAACACCTGAAGAGTGCGGCACTTTTCGGCTGTTTGTTTAACCTTTAAATTAAGGAACCCCAAGAAAATGACACACGGCCCTTTTTCGAGTCTCCAAGTAGCGGATTTCCCATTGGGAAAATATAACAAGAATCTTCAGCAAATCATTCATCATCATTATATCCAGAAAATATAGTAGTTTATTTTCGGAATCTTCATCCATCATTTTGGAGAAATTTCGGCCCTCCACCGGTGCCCCGACGCATTTTCGGCCACCACGATTCAATTTTCGGATGGTGACCTGAGAGAAGCTGCCGGTGTCACCCTCACCGTGGCCGGGAAACCCATGGAAATCCCCAATGGATAATTGGAAACTCAACTGGGGAATTTTCCAGCATGTTCGATGAACGGTACCACAAAGAAACTTTGGCTTTTATACGATTCTTTATTCCAAAGATTTCAACCCATGTGGCACCGCTGCAAGCACGATGAGAGGATGTCTGCCTCAGAAATGGATACAATAGGTGAAACAAAGTCGAATCGGTGGCACCAATGGTGGCACCAATGGTGCCACCAAAGTTGTATTTTTAAGCAATTAACCATCCGTCCATAACATTTGAATTATCATAATAAGATGAATTACATAATATGATATGATCATAATGTTTAGCACATTGAAATTATCATAATATGAACTCCATCCGCATTGGATAGAAAACAAATCCAAACAATAGATGCACCATCATTTTCTGCCTTCTGAGTCAATAACGCTGATGTGTACACATGTTCTTGTTTGTATTCCAAAATGTTGTTCAATTTCGTATTTCTTGCCGGTTAAATCAGAAGTCTTTCTGGTAAAAAAAACATGTTTTTTGCGCTGGTGAACTCCATTTGTTTGTTACTTGAATCCGAATGTTGGTGAAATGATGCTGACTTCCGGCATCATTCTGCCAAGGTACATGCGGCGATTTGGCTCCTGAGCCAGAAAAAAACTTGTTCACTTTGGGATCCCCCATTGGTGGACCCTTTTTTTTTTGATGGCTTTGTTTCGGGGGTTGCGTCCATATATCGATATCCTATGTGTCAATGTGGCAGTCAATCAAGGTTGAAGACTTACATCAGTGGTTTGGTTTATCTAAAGATAAACGCTACAGAGGAAAAAAAAAAACATTGTTTCTAGCCCCAAATCTAGGGATTTTCTGTAAATAAAACAATCCCATCATCCAATCCTTTCTTCAGGCACCAGGACATGCCAAGTATCGCTTCACTTTGCCACCTGGTAGAAGTTTTTCTTTGGATTTTTCGCTAACCTCCTGCAGGAGCAGTTTTTTGATCTGATTTTCACTTAAAGTAAAGCCTTGGCATTTGAACGAACTTCAAGTCTGGAAGAGCAACAAACCAAAGGGCCCCAAAAGCTCCACATCAAACACACCCTTACTCATTAGGCCATGAAGCCTTGGCCATTGAGTTTTCATGAACCATTCCAAACCAACGCTCCCCGCATAGGGTACAGTGACCAGCGGTGACCAGTGGTGACTACCGCTGACCTCGGCCTTTTTCTTGGCATCTTCGAGAGATACACCGGACAACTCAGGGTAGTAGTGCGGTGCATTCCTGGCAATAAGCTAGATGCGATTCCCCATGGGTCAACCAAGTCATGTCAACAACAGCGACAACAACAACAACAATACGTGACTATCACGTCATGAAATAAATATAAGCACACATAAAATCTAAAAAACAACTATTATCATCAAATTGTGCATATTCTATCTACCGTGATGATGGCCAGAAAACCACATCATATGACATCGAAGCTTATGTTGATGCAGGAAGCTTAAGGCACCGATTTGGATCTGCTTGGGGTGTCTTCTTGCGTCACTGAAAGTGATGTATGTTGGATCAGCAGATGGGAACAAAAAGGAAGCATGATCATAATTTTGGATAATGCCGCATTAGGTCGATGTGCTTGTGTTTTGTTTGGCGTTTGAGACGAAAATCGACTACCCCATTCGGTTTTCCATGGTTGACCAACAATTTCCCCCCTAGCCTCTGGCAATCAAACAAGGCTGGGAAATCGTCCATTTCAAATATTCAATTTTCCCAGTAGTATGCCCATTTAGCCTGGGGATTTCCCAACCAGTGATGTTTGATGAGACCTGAAGGCCCTATATTCTCAGACGCAAACCTAACTAGCGGCAATGGTTGGTGGTGAAAATGACCCAAAAGTCATCAAGAACCATCAGCATTTGGGGTTTGCCCTGAAATTTGTGAGGTTGTTTCCGTTTCCCTTAAATATCAAAGTTCGGGCTTGTTCTTTTAAAAAAGATGACGTTTCAACCACAAGAATTCGGTAAGCCCAGGCACTCCAGGCACCAAGGTTTGCACTTCTCCCAGGTAGGGCCATACCTGAGTTGTGACGCAAGTTCTTCGTGACAGGGTTCCCGGGACGGATTGCCTGCTTGCCTTCAAAGGGTTGGCGCAAGGGTGATTGCAGAGCTACTCGCACAAACATGTCCAGACCACAATTGGAGGACCTGCCTCCGTAGATTGGACCTTCCCTCCTCCGTGGATTGTGTGCTGCACGTCTGGGTAGATGTCCTGTGCTGGCGCTCCTGGGTGGACGCGTTGTGCTGGAGCTCCTTCCATCTTTCTTCTTTTCAATTCCTTCACTTCCTCATCAACCAGGCTGAGTTCCCTTCGGAAGCGCTGCTTCATTTCCCGTTCACCTTTGTTGCACTCAGCCTGCTCCTTCGCGAGACTTTCCTCCAGATCGGTGAGCCGCTCGGATGTTGTAAAAACCACCCGGTCCTCTTCGTGGAGGCCCACCGCAGCCGGCACCATCCTCGTGGTTTCGGCTGCGCAGCCGTCCATGAAGTTTTGGAAGAGGCGGTGCGCGTAAAAAGGAGTTGTTGTTGCATGTTGTTGCTATCGCCTTCGTTGTTTTTTGCATATTGTGTGTCTTTACATCTGGGGTGGGGTGGTGGGGTGGGGCAATAACGTCATTGTACTCTACGTCATGTTCTCTTGCCCTCAACATACATACGTCGTGCTATACGATACATCATGTTCTCTTTCCCTGAACTTACATATCTCATGCCGCGCTATGTCATATTCTCTTGTTCTTGACATGCAATAGTGTTGGGTAGACGACCTATGATATTACAGTACTTGTTCAAACCTGAACAAATGAAAGCAAAAACTCAAACCTTAATCAAAACCCTGGGATTGCTGATTTGCGTTTATATTCCCAAGCAAATCAATATAAAGGATCCAAAGACCACTCTCTTGAACGGGGACTTGCGGAATTGGATCTACCAGTGCCACTGGCGATACCACAATCGCCACAACCTTGGCAAAGGGTGCCTGAGGTGATGCACCACATTGGAAACCATTGACGACTTGAAATGTTACAGACCAAAAAAAGCGACGTCAGTAACGACGGCGATACCTTGTTTGTGACATTGGGTTTCCCACATTACTGAGGGCTTAATAACCAGCTCGGACCAAAGCACGTGAAACAAAACAACAAAACCTCGACCGAGCTCGAAAACATGGCATTGGGAAGGCAACCAAGCATAAAGTAATTTATTAAGCGTGTATTAACCACCAAACACATTTGATCAGGTCTAACAATTACGACCATTTATTAACAGTCTATGTTAATGTAACATATACAGGTAACGCTTGGGCAGTTTCAATACAGGGTAAAAAATAAACCCTGGATGTTGATTTACCCCTAGCCTGTTGATCCTCGGGGTGCCACTGAAGTATCTAACTATCACTATGCGTGGATGCGCATGGTTATATTCCACATTAACATAGATGGTTAGATGACCACTACAGTGGAGTATGATGCCCATATCAGTAAGAGAGTGGACTGGTTCACATTCCACTCTTTTTTGGGGATGCCCATGGTGGTAAAAAAAATCAATGTCACTAAGCACCATGAAACCCACTTCTCAAACTCCAACCCCCTGTGTCCAATAAGAAACAAACAACCGCGGCCAAGTTGCTGACAAAAGTCCGGGGGGAGACTGCACACCGGGCAATAGACCCTGAGTGGCGCCAAGAAAATGCCGAGCTGCGGGGATTCAACACGTCAAGGATGAAGCAGAATATATATATATATATATAAATAAGGATTATAAGGGCATATCCAAACAAAATAAGATTATCATAGTGTATGCTGGTAGCTTCACAAATTGCGCTTGGCAGCGTGTGGCTTGGGCAAGAATATTGCCTTCCCAGAGTGTGCCTTCTTTTTCGGCACAACCACTGCAAAACACCGGCTTTGCAAGACTCATTGATGGGAATTCAAGGCCTTCTGAACTGCAATATCTAGCGATCTTCAAATCGTGACAATGATATACCCATTTATAGTGGATTTACCCATTAAAAAAAATGTGATTTTCCATAGTTATGTTAGTTTACCAGAGGGTATATACAAAGAAATCATTGATAGCCTTAGCATCCAATTAAACCCCAAGAAGCCACGGGGTAAATCCGATGAAAGCCTCAATAGATCCAAAACAAAGTATGATTTGTGACCACCGTTCGTGATTGTAAAACAATGTTTTCATATAAGCAGTTGGGTTCAAGCCGAAAACTGCAGGAAACCATTATTTTCAGGCCCAAAATGCACCGAAAAGAAAATCCATGACATACATGGGCTTGTCGTGGGAAAGTTACAAAAAATTGTAGATTTTCGATTGCCAGGTTTGATTACTGCAGGATATCCCAAAATATCCCACTTATACACCAATTAAATGGATATCCTGGGATATTTTGGGATATTTATGGATATTTAGATAATATATACTCCATTAATTGGATATTTATACTCCCAAAATATCCCTAAATATATCATAAATATCCAATTAAATCCCATTGACACTCCATTAAATCCAACTGAATTGATCGCCACAGGCTGGCTTCGCCCAGCGGCACAGTCACCGCGGACTCCATCGGCGGGTAGGAGTCGTGTAACTTCGACAATTTCGGGCGGGGGACAGAAGTCAGGTAACGGAGGTCACATGGCAATGGGAACATCCATCAAAAATGGAGGTTTCTAGCTGGAAAAATCAAATAAAAGGGGTTTAAATGGGAACATCCATCAAAAATGGAGGTTTATAGCTGTGAACATCATCTGTAAATGGTGGATGGTCAATTGCCATGTTTGACAACCATGCTGCGGTTTTAATGGATTGGTTGAAGCGAACATCTACAGGAAACCAGGGTGTTTACCATAGGGTTTCCTTCAGATTTTCTCTTAAACCAAACCATTGTATGTTTCTTGAACATGTAACGGTCTACTACTATCTATTTCATGATCATCGCAAGTATACAAGTAGGTGTATATATATATAGTATAAATATAATATATTATATATATACAGATGCAGTATAAGTTGCTATGAGTTGATATAACCATCTTCCAGAAGCATGGGTATAGAAGTCGATCTAACTGTCTAAATCCCATTTCTCGACCGTGTGGATCCCCAAGAATGATCCCATCCCCGTCCCCCCTTAAATCCCCTTATAGGGAACCATTATTTTTAGCCACGCAATAGATAGGAAAGTCACTTAAATGCTACTTTTCGATCAAAAACACATGGCAAATACTGTAGTGGTGTTCTATGTTTTGGATTGTTTTGGTGGCTACAACCGAACAATAACCCCAGTCATACCATGTTGAACCATATTGCCCATCTGGGGACTCCCTGGAGCACCTTGAATTCAATGTGGAAGGGCTTAGGAGCTTTGGGGGCCGCCTGGATGCTGTGGAAACTTCGGCACGTCTGGATTTGTTCAAGGGAAAAATTCGCTTTGGCTAAAACTGTAAACGCCGTTTTAAACCATCCAAATAACGGAGACACGCTTTGGGCATTTTGGGAGATCATCCTCTAAGTATGGATGGGAAATGCTTCAAGTATTGGAAACACATCAAGTGGGGATTCTGATAAGGAACTCATCTATGAAGTCATGTTTCACCGGGGCTACCTGGCCTCCGCGGATTCGCTGGGATAGCCTTTGGCTCCATCTGCTTCCTCCTTATCCTTGCTGGACCCCGGAAACCGCCGTCATGGGGGGTTAAAGCATGCGGGCCCTGGTACGATGCACTTTTTTCTGGCTGGATGAAAAAGACATGGGATGATGTGGGATCAATGATATTGGCAATTGGTGTGAAAATGGGCTACCCCTGAATCAAAAAGTTAATCATCAAGTCATCAAGTCTCTCTATTCGAATGGCCATATTCTGACACCAAGGTCTCAAGGTTTGCACCCATAGGGACCGACAGGGCATGACAGAGTGTAGACTTCGAGCCAAAGGATATGTTGCACTTTTGGGGGTGCGAGAAGCTTGGACAACCGTGTTCGGAATGCCTTCTGAATTCTGACATGGAAAAGGGACAATCCCTCATGTCCGGTGGATTGTCCCTTTTAACTTCCAGATGGACATCTGGATTTCCTGTGCAGCTAGACCAGGAAGACTCTCCAACTGGGATAGCCCGACTTTGCAAATGGCGACTGGACAGCAGCGGACAGCAACCCTTCTGGAGATGGTATATCGATGTACATCATGGGCTTGGAATCCAATAATCATGCATATAATATAATATAATAAAAATATATATAAAGAACTCTATTCCACATAATGCACGCAGATGTGATGATGCGTGGCGTAATACTATATCTATACATATATATATGATTATGTATGTATATATTAACACATGTCCCAGCTGCGAACCATTAGCATCTTAAGAGGCATCCCAGCGAGAGCGCCTCATTTTTCGCCTCCTCTTTCACTTCTTCCTTTCCTTCTGTTGCTTTCTCAGCTTCCTGTGGTGTTGGCATCCATGAGCCAACCACCAGCAAATACATGGAAACAACTTGAAATTATAGACTGACCTTTGGAATTGATTATGCATTAGAAATATATAGAAAAATACAGAATATAGAACAAGTAGAAAGAACCAGCAACTAAATCTAGTAGAACTCATCTCCTAGAAGCACTTACCACATCCAACTGCCATATTCTGCTGTGGCAGGTGGTCAGGCCGATGACACCCTACTGGCGGCAGTAAAACTGGATGAAAAACTGGTGATGGTTGGTGAAACTCATTGTGATAGAGCCATGTGTGGTTGTCTAAAGTTCATTTTGTAGCTGGTTAAATATATATGTATATACATATATATATATATATATATGCGAGTAGCGGACAAAATTATGTGCTACATGTAATGCCATGCATAAATCAGGGTCGTCCCCTATCGGTTGTGAGGCATTTCAGTCTTCCCGGAGGTATCACAAATGGGGTATCAGTATAGGGCCGGCCCCTATCGGTTATGAAGGTTTTTGTGCAACCTCGGAAAGGCCAAGGCGAAACAAAACTAAATCAATATTACAATAATTTTGTCGGTTACTGATATAAAGAGACAAAGCATATGTGGTTGCATCCCTACTGTTGTTGCTGAGAACACGTGAACATTCAAACCCAATTGTTCATTGTTCATTGGCTAACTATGTAACTATGACTGTATGCGGATGCTCATTCTACCTCGTTGAAGTCGCCATTATCTTGGGTATGTTGGTTGGTTTTGATGTGGTAGACCCTGCAATTTGGCATTGGATTACCGCTTGGAAAAAAAGATCATCCTGCCATATCCGGCGCCATTTGGCATGCTTAAGCATAGCACCATCATCCACCATCACAAAAAAATGAACATCGAACGAAACATGTTGAACATTGATTAGTGGGATGGTTTTGTGCCTTGGGGAAAATTCTCCAAACATTATTCTAACCCCATGTAACGATGTCCCATTGCTAAAAAACACCAACCGATGGGAGCCATTAGAATAGCCCTAACCCATCTCATTAGACTGGTTGGGTAATTATATAATAGGTTTCCCAATCCTATGGTTATCATAATCCCCTTTAGTAACCGGGTATATAGTATAATCCACTACAATCACCAATCGACCCAGATGGTGATCTAAAAACCGGGCCGTATAATATACAACCTAGTGTGATTAATACATTCTCTTTTTATCCAATTTTTACCTGAAAAAATACCCATGCTTGGTGGTATACCATAATATACCTAACAAAAATACCACCCAAATATCCACCAGCGATGATCCGAAATCGCCTTCACTTCGCTTTCCGGCGCATCTTCACCTTCCTCCTGGTGCCGGAAATCGCCAACAGAAATGGTGATTTCATGGGATTTGAATGGGTTGAATAGGATTTTATGAGACTTATTGATGATTTAATGGGATTTAATTGTGATTTAATGGCATTTCATGGGATTTACCATGATGAACTTGAATTTTTTTCGCTGTCCTGCTAGAGCCCGGGATGCCTGGGGGCGACAGCTAAGTCCAACCATACCGGCAAGTTTGCTTCTCAAATCGTGGTGTGAATACGTATGAATCATGCATAAGAGTTTAAATTCAAGCAGCACATTCTGATTTTGATGGACACTAAATGGGCTTAAGCGATAGATCCGATAGAATGATGCGTTTCTCCAACATGAAAGGGCTTTGATCAACAGCAAATGGGACTTTTGGGGGGCAAAATCATTGAGACAGGAAGGTGATAGTTCAAATCCCCAACTCCCATATGAATTCCCCAAGTTTTTGCATGGCCCAATTGAACAGGGCTGTAGACCTCTAGAAGCTGAGGAAAAAAAAGCCAAGAATAAGCAGCGTACATCTGGGGGCAAGCTCCACTGACCTCCATCGCTGGTAGAGATCTACTAAGCTACTAGTTCCGAACCATGGAAACTCCATGATTTCTGCACATAAGGCATCTTCAGATCATCCCAGCCAAAATTGCAATGGTCAAAACATATTTAAGATTGGCACCAGTAGGGATACCTTGCAATGTGGTAATGAGTTTATCAACCCTTATGAAAATGGAGCAAATGACCATCCCTGAACCTACACTCCGGTAATCAAACATTGCAACTAAAAAATCCACCATTTTTTGTAGATTATCTTCCCAGCTATAGACCTCCATGCATATGGGCTTTCGAACCAGCCACGTTTGAAGACACCGGAGGGTATTCTGTAAATCCATTAATACCCTTTGATTATCCCATTGTGGTCCCTTTGATATATATATATATATATTATAGCATATCAAACCATCAATAAACTATATAAAGACCAAAGGCATATATATATATATAGCATATATATATATATATAGCATATATATATATATGTATAGCATATATATATATATAAATAGCATATATAACAAAGCATATATATATATACATACATAGTTGGCATATATATGTATATATATATATATGTATATATAAATATATGTGTGTATATACACACCATATCGAACCATCACTAGACCCTAACCAAAAAAAAAGGCAGCTTCACCACCGGTGCCTCCTCTTCCTCTTCCTCTTTGGCTTTCTCGTCCTTTGAGGCCTCGGCAGAAGTGCATTGATTCCTTAAACCAATCGATTGATACAACAACGGTTGGATATGCAAACATTTGCTGAAGCTGAGAATGAAGTCATTTGAGATGTCTCCGAGTGACATGTAGCCATGCTTGTAGAAATAGTTGCGACACAAAAATTGGGAGAGTGAGGCCAACCCCGGCTTGTCAATTGAGACGAGCACCTCTCAAATATATAGTGATAATCTGCTGTTATGGTACCACTTCCACCCCAATTGAACAGTCCAGGGGTTTATTGATCCAGGGCTGGCATTATGGCAATTTGATGCAATCTCTTTCATGTTGAGTTTCCAGGTGGTGCACTTGCCACTGGCACTTGTTCCCTACTTACGTGAGGTGTTTTGTCATCAAAATTCAGATAAGTCCTTGAGTTTCACCCCCCTTATATAACAAAAAAACATCGTCAATGGGGATCATTACCCCAGGTAAGATGAATCCCAGTGCACTGCAGCCTGCCTTCTTCTTGTTCTTCGGCATGGCGCTTAACAGTGCGCGGCCAATGGGCGCAGTGTCTGACTTGAACCAAAAAACAACATTGGGAACATGAATCCTTTCTGCAATAAGGAGGATGCACCCATCAAAAAAGATGGATTCAAGCACGAGGGCGTTGTTCAAACGCTAATTATTTGGATGCCAGCAAGAAAAGCAAGAAGGTGTGAGTCAGCGTGCACATGCCATGGCTGGACGCATCCAGCTGAGTGAACGTCTGGGCCGTGAATTGATACATAGTGTGTCTCTAAATGGGACCCCATTTCATGAGGAGATCCAATGTATTCCAGAGTTTCTGTGGGATGCTCATGATTTTGGAAGGGACTACCCTCTGGTAAACTAACATAACTATGGAAAATCACTATTTTTAATGGGTAAATCCACTATAAATGGCAATTTTCAATAGCTTTTTGTATGTTTACCAGAGGGTAGTGTATATCACTTCACCTGTTGCTTCGCCATATCACAGGCATTTGGGAATACCCCAAATTCCACCTCGCAGGCGCCGCCTGAACACGGAGATCGGGGGAGCACCCATGAACCATTGACACCCTCTATTTGATACACCTGGCATTGCGGGATCCCCATGTTTCATCCATTTTTGTAGGCAAAGCTTTGAACATGAACATGTTTCCCGCCAGGTTCAATTGCCGGAGAGCATCCATCACTGGATACGCCCCCTTGCTCTGGGGTCCTCTACTCTGACCCATCCCCATTTCCACATCGCTAGGTCAATATCTGTTAATTGTGTGGATGTTGGTGATTATACAAGTGTCATTGAATAGTAAGATATAGTACGTATCATTGCCTAGACACCCCTGGTCAAAACAAAACAGTCGGCTGTTTGGGGTGAAGGTCCCCAGTCCCGAATCCCCCCATGATACTCAGTGACCGAGTGGTGGTTGTTTTCCTACGTTGTTATTGCATGCCTGGCAAACCTCAGATACATTGCCAAACATGGCAATCAAAATTGCTGTCAACAAAATACTCTGTGCATCTCTTTGCTGGATCTTGCGATACTCCTCTATATACATAGCAAAAAATAACATCAGATCATATTGAATCATCCCTTGACCAGTCGCCTTTTCCCCGGGTGCCTTCGCCCACATCGGCTCCAAACTGCATACTGCAGCATGACCCGAGTGGCCTGCGAAGGTCTCTGAGTGATTAGGTATCTTCCAGAATCTGCAGTTGTCTTATGAATGGGATATGAACGGGGGATTTATATAATGGGATATTCATGGGATACCCTCCGGTAATCAAAACATGGCGTCATCGAAACCCATGATTTATAGATGATTCTCCCACTAACAAATGCAGTTTATATCAATTTATGGGGGATTTCCCATTGCCACATTTGATTACCGGATGGTATAGTTACTGGGTGCTTGGTAGCTCGGTGCTTGCAACGGTAGAACAGCGCGTCGTACATTGCAAATGCGTGGGATAAGAGTCAGTTGGGGTTTCTAAAACCTCTCCGTGAGTGTGCCACCTATAACATTTACATTCATGTATATGGGGGAGTTCCGAAAATTTGGTTTCCCCAAACCATTGGTTTTTCCATTGGCAGTAACCAATTTCGGATGATTTTGTGGTCCCCCATTTGAGGAACCAAACACATGTTCCAACCAACAAACAACTCACTGGCTGCTTGCTTGGCTGCTGGCCCTTACTGCCTCGGCCAGGTTGCCCGTGGAGCTAAAGATGCCAAATGCAAATCAGAAGGGTATATATAGCATGTTGTTTGCTTAATATACCGTATATCATTCAAATTTCCTACATGGAGTGTTGGAGCATGAAACCAACACGCAACTGCAAACATTTGATATTCAAATTTTCCACAATCAGTTATAATCAGTTCCTATCTTCCAATACAGGCTATGTGATGGTCGTGTACTTGTCAAATACATGCAATGGACGCGTGACACTTCATGACACTTCAGTTCGGGCCGAAAATTTGTGCTGGCAAAAACGGTTGGCAGCGAAAAAATCCTGCAACTCATCCACGACTGATCAGACAGAAGTACTGTATACTATACATATTACATATGTATAAATATACATATAAATATATATATATATATGTGTACAATATACTTATAGACTCATGTGTATGTAATAATTGGGTACACGTAGACTGCATATGTATACGTGCGCCGGTAAATGTGTCAAACATTGCCAAACAGTATTCGCAAAGGCGACTCCAATCTCCCAAACCTCTCACGACGTCTCTCACGACTCTGACTTCAAATGCCAATGACTGACACCAAAAGGTGAAGACACATGATGGCAAACATCCCTCAAAATACGTAAATGGTTGTAAATCATTATATATTTCAAAAAGTTTCATATATTTATAAAAATATAAAAAGATAAACATAAATATCAACACCTATATATATATATATATACGCAGGACTTCCAGCTCGAGGTTTAATCTTGTTCCAGCACAACGTCGAGATTTTACCATAGCCTATGCTTATGCAGGATCGCAATGATATAATTCATCATTCTATGCTCCCGGCTGCTGTTCCACAGCTATTTGGTGCTCTACGAGGGTGACCCGTCATCCCAAGATGCTGGCTGTTATCTGCTTGGAACTAAATTTCACAAAATTAATGATTTTTTTAAAATCTTTTAGCTTATATTTAACATCCAAACATCCGAGCTTCTATAGGTCATTACGGCTGATGGATGAGAAAAGCCTGCCTTGATTCAACGTCCAGTCCTCAGCCATGCTGAACCCCATCAGCCAATGCCATTTGCGATGTCGAATGGTTGAGGCCAGGTGGAGGCATTGCAATATGGAGGTGCAACCCCCTGACCTGTGCAATCCCGCGCATTTTTGCACCAGCTTCTAGCTGCCCTTGTTTGGCCAGCTGCTTTGTTTGCTCCAAAGGGCTTCCTGGCAACACGCCTAGCTCAAAGCCAAGGGAGCATATCATGCACCGCAAGCTCCGGATCAAAGCGTTCCCCTCCGGACCTCAGCCGCGAGCTCCGGATCAAAGTGTTCCCGACCGGACCTCAACTACAAAGAATCTCCGAAGATATACCAGATAGAATGCCAGAAAAGAATGTCAGAATAGATGCCAGATAGAATGCGAGAATAGACTGTCAAATAGACTGCCAAATAGAATGCCAGAAGATTATACCATATATATTTCCAGATGACATGTCAGAAACTAATGACAAATAAGTGTCAGGGCCGGGATCACTTGAAGAAAAGTAATTAGCACATTCCTTTTTTGCGCAAACAGGGGTATAGGATAACAACTTTAAGATCATCAAGCCTTGGGAAGTTCACCTTGGAAATGCCCACTTTGAAGGAAGCCCAGGCTGGCAACGGGCACTCACACAGTAAAATCAGTAAAACGTTGACAGTGCATCGCTTTTGTTGATTGTTTTTCCTCTGTTTGGAAAAGAGAGATGTACAATCCCAACTCAACAAAATTCAACGATCAAACAGTCATCTTGATTGTGCATGAATAGGCTGTGCTATCTGCAATTGCTGTTAAACACCGATAGCCACGGCGAGAAGGCCCCAGCGGTTCTGGCGTTGATGGTTCGTTATTCATTCTGATGCCGTTTGCCATTGGCAATCGGAATTATTTGAAAGCTTAATATGAATATTGAGTTTTTGTGAAGGCTCTTGGCTATTCTTCTTGCTAGGATTTGTGTGATTCAGCATGCGCATGTAGCATTCCTAGTGGAACACGTCTCTCAGCCGATTCCAGCTTTCATCTGGCACAGGCATGAGCTCAAAACGAAGGGAGCATCAAAAGGGGTCTTGCAACTATGTAACCACAAGGACATCAAGAACATCAGCCGGAAGGCTTGAAGATGGAGGGAAACATGAAAGGGCATGATACAACATGAGCTTGGTTCATTCACATTTAGACATGATTGTATAAGCTCAGCCCCTTTTCGTTCGTTTTGCATCGGGTCGAAGTCTCGCATGCCGCCAGTGTCAGGTTCAAAGTAACGGCACGTCGGCCTACAAGATCTGATGAGAGTGTTTTTCTCCTCATCTGTCAGCTGGCCCTAACACTCCCTGAAAACGCTTCCATCTGGATCCTCAATTTCTGGACGAAGCGTAGGGACATCCGAAGACTCCTCATCATCGTCTTCTTCGTCTTCTTTGCCGCTCTCGTCTTCAATCTCTTCCTCACTTTTTTCTCGACTAGGTTTTTCACTTCTCTCGGAGCCAGGAGGGCTATTCTTTTTTCCCTTTCGACCCTTCTCCATGGTGGTGTTCCATCAGGAAACGGACCACGTAGGCATGGACCTGTGCCAAGTGAAAGTTCCACCATTCCAACCATTCCTCGAACAGCTTCTGCAACTCCCAATTATTTTAACCCAGGGAAGATTTTGGGGGATACCTTGCACAAGGTGGAAACTGTCCCCAAGAGGGATACATTCCCGGAAGGCAGAGGAACCGTCAGGTTCACAGGTGGAGGCGGTGGAACTTCAATATCGTCATAGATTTCTGTCAAGGATGCCACTGGTACGGTACCTCATCTTGACCAGCTGAACAACTCTTACTTGGAGTTTGTTTCTTGTCGTCATCGGATTTCACTGGCACATATGTGTGAAGACTGGGCAGCAGTTTCTACATTAACTCGTTTATCCTCTCTCCATGATCTCTTTTGCCTTTGTTTGTCTTAAGCCTCAAGTCTATCTGCTCGTTCCTTTGTCTTTCTTTCATTGCCATGTAGAACTGGAGCGCTTTCTCATATTTCTCGTTTGGATCCATGTCTGAAACATTCTTTTAGAGATCCATTACCAAAATTGGCCAGTAGCAGAATTTGTATTAGTCCACTAACGCCATAAGTTCTTTTTTTACAATTCTGATAAAATCAAAGACTTTGCCCAAAGATCGGAAACATGTGTTTGCATAGCTGACTTTTGCAATGTACTTGAAAGCCAAATTCCATAAATAAGAGACTTCTTTTCATTAACGCAATGTACCTGAAGGCCATGACCGCTGT